ATATGGAGGCATACGTGGTGTTTATGCATTCATTAGTTGATGGATGTTTGGATTGTTTGCACTTTTTGCTCTGATGAATAATCTTCTGCGAATATGTATGAGTTTTTGCCTGGACATATGTTTTCACTTCTCTTGGGTGTATACCTAGGAGTTGGATTATTGGGTCATATTATAATTCTATATTTAACATTTTGAGAAACCACCAAACTGTTTTTCCAGGTGACTGCACCCTTTTACGTTCTCCCAAGCAATGTATGAGAGTTCTAGTTTCTCCATATCCTCGCCAACACATGTTGTTATGCATCTTTGATTATAGCCATCCCAGTGGGTGTGAAATGATATCTCATTGTGGTTTGGGTTTGCATTTCCCTGATGACTAATGGCAATGAACATCTTTTCATGTGCTCACTGGCCATTTGTATATCTTCTTTGGAGAAATGTTTATTGACATCCTTTTCCCTTTGTAAAATGGAATTATTTGTCCTTTTATTGTTGAGTCGTAAGAGTTTGTTATAGATTCGGCTACTGGAAGCCTCTTCAAACTGACTCTTGTGTCCTTTAATATACTCCCATCATTTTTTGAGAATGCTGTTGTGGACTGAATTGTGTCCCCTCGAGAGTCATATGTTGAAGTCCTAACCCCCTGAACCCCTCACAATGTGACTGTATTTGGAGATAGGGCTGTTAAAGAGGTAATTAAGGTTAAATGAGGTCCTAAGGGGGGACCCCTAATCCAATATGACTGGTGTCCTTATAAGAAGAGGAAGAGACACCACAGTGGTGAGTGCACAGAGGGAAGGCCATGTGAGGGCACGGTGAGAAGATGTTCATCCGTAGGTCAAGGAGAGAGGCCTCAGGAGAAGCCACACCTGCTGACACCTTGATCTTGGACTTCCAGATTCCAGAACTGTTGAAAATAAACTTCTGTTGTTTAAACTACCCAGTCTGTGCTATTTTTTTTATGGCAGCCCTAGCAAATTAATACGGTATTTTCTTGCTTTCTGGCATCACAAGGCTCATCTCATACTTTCCTGCCCCAGCCCTGGAATCTGCCATTTCTTCAAGGATCACTAGTTCTTGGGGAATGATGTTTAGAAACCAGGATCTGAAGACTGGTGTGCCTATCGTCCATTGTTTCTAGCCCTCTTAGTGGAGAGAACTAGGAGGTATAGGCGTGTGTGTGTATACCCCCCACCTCTGTAGCTGTGTTTCTCTGTCTGTGTATATGTTAAAGACCATGAGTTCTGTTGATAACCTCTGATTTCATGGTGCAGGGCTCACTCTAGCCTTCCCTCATTCCTTACTTACTTCATCTTAGAATATGTATAAAGTAGTTTCAGAATTATTAACCTGTACCCTTGTGAGAAACAAACCTACCAACTGTTTATGGTTCTTTGTGCCTTTAACCTTAGGCTCTACTGCCGACATACTGTGCTCAATTTCCCCCTCCTCCCCTTCAGTGTGGTTGTGTTATTCATTCAAAACACAGTTAGGTTGATTTACTTTGTTTGTATTTGTTTTCTCTATCTGCTGCCCCATCCTTGTTGGTTTTATTTATTATTATTTTTAGTATGTGAAACTTCAACATGGTTCAAAAGGTCAAAACTACAAAAAGCTATTCTTAGAGTAGTTTTACTCCTTTCCCTTCCCTTCCCATTTCCCTGTTCCCTCTGCCCCGTCGGTAATCAAGCCCAGTCGTTTTTGAATTATCCTCCCTGTGTTCCTTTGTGTTCAGTCACTGCATCCCACCCGGAGATGCTTCCTGGCAGTAAACTCCAGAGCCAATACATCTTACACACTGATGCTGGTGTTTAGTTATGGTGGGCTATCTTGTTCCTTAACTCCAGTTAATCAGTCAGTGATCATTGTGTGTTTACTCTGTGCCAGCACTAGGTTAGATGCAGAGGACAAAAGACTGATTCCTATAGTGAAGCCGGATGTCTTGACCCCTCTGTGCATTCCCACTCTGAATCGCTCCCTTCCCTCATCCGCATACCTCTGCACTTTGTCTCTCCTTCTTCCGGTCTGTTGTTCACAAAGCTGCTGTTTTCATTGACTGAGACATAAATACAAACTATCAATCATAGATCCAATTTATAATAGATATTACTCTTACAAATAGTCAACATGAAATAACATTGCCAACTGGCTAAAACCGCACGAGGTAACGTTGGTTATTGATTCAATGTGATGGGAGAATCAAATCTGCCTCATCAAATTGGTCTCCCAGTACACGTGTACCTGGCAGACGTGCTATGACAGTGAAGGGAAAGTCACAAGGGCAATAAAATTTAGTTATGTACAAAATGCTAAATCTAATCTTTGTTGTAAAGTTAAAACTGATGTGGAGTAATCGCGATTAAAATAATTTTAGTAAAGCTTAAATGAAAATGGAAACATTGGAAACTATTTGTGCTGTGTAGAAAATGACTCATGGATTTTGCACCAGAAAATACAAAATGCAGGAAGGAGGGGGAACAAGAGGTGAGGCTGGAGAGGAGGCCAGAATTTGTTCCTAATCCCAAGGGCAGTGGGAATCACTGACAGTTGTAAATAGGGGAGTGACATCAAGCTTGCATTTAGAAGTGTGTCACTGACTGTGCTGTAGAGAATGGAGTGGGCACTACAGAGTCCCTCCTCTGAAACTTGAGCTAAGGAAGGTGCCAGATAAGGGCAAAGGACTGTGGGAGAAAGGGGGGACGAGGTGGGGGGCAAAGGGTCAGGAGAGAGAGAGGGAGGGAAGGAAGAAAAGGAGAGACGAAAGAGAAAGATAGCTTGTGGCTACAGACGGTAGGAAAAGGATGAGAAATTGGAGGCCACTTAGTTCTTAGAGAGTTGACACTTGAGCTGAGCCTTGGAGGGGAGAAACGTTAGGAAAGACTAAATCGGGGGAGGATGAGGTGAGGGGCAGTCCAGACACAAGAGATGCATGAACAGAGGAGGAGCACAGGCCCCTGTAAAGAGACCCTGAGGAGGAGTCTGGGAAGGCGTTTGAGAAGAGACCTTTCAGAGAACTATTTCAGCAGTGGTCCCTGTCTTCACCACTGTCCTTCCCACCACATGGATGCCATTGCAGGGTGCTGGGAGTAGTGGTGGTGGAATATGTATATATGCAACCAGAACTCTCGTACACTGCTGCTGGGAGTGTAAAAGAGGGCAGCCATTTAGGAAAATGATCTAGCAGTTTCTTAAGTAGTTAAACACTTAGTCCATAACCCAACCATTCTACTCCTAGGTGTTTACCCAAGAGAAGTAAAAACACATGTCCACACAAAGGCTTGTGCAGAATGTTTACAGCAGCTTTATTTATAATAGCAGAAGACTGAGAATAACCCAAATATTCATCAACAAGAAAATGGATAAACAAATTGTGGTAAATTCGTATGGTGGACCACTACTCTGCTGAGTAGTATACAAATACAAAGAAACAGCCTACTGATGCATGCAGCAACATGGGTGATCTCCAAAACTTTATGCTGAGCTGAGGAAGCCAAACACAACAGTACGTGCTGTCAGATTCCACTCATATGATGTTCTAGAATAGGTAATGTGGGTAGAAATCAGCAGTGGTTGTCCCTGAGGGCGGAAGGTATTGACTAGGAACGGGCATGAGGGAATGTTCTGGGCTGATGGAAATCTTCTGTATCTCAATAGGGACGTGATTCACACAAGTGTAAACATTTGGCAAAACTCATGAAACCTACACTTAAGATCTGCGCATTTCACTGTATGTAAATTTTATATCAATTAGAAAACAGTTTATTGCAGTCTGGGAAGATTAGAAACTGTGTTACAAATCAGAAGTGATTTCTTACCTTGCCTTGTTTTTCCTTTGTTATTGTTAGCTTAAAAGGTTTTTTATTTTGGAGTTGGCCTGGGGGTGTAGTGGCTAAGTTTGCACACTCGGCTTTGGCGGCCCAGGGTTAGCAGGTTCGGATCCCGGGGCGTGGACCCAGAACTGCTCGTCCAGCCATGATGTGCCAGCATCCCACACAGGACAGAGGAACATTGGCACGGATGTTAGCTCATCAACAATCTTCCTCGGGCAAGAAGGGGAAGATTGGCAACAGATGTTAGCTCAGGGCCAGTCTTCCTTACACACACCAAAATACATATATTTAAAAAAAGGGGGCGCCAGCCCCGTGGCTGAGTAGTTAAGTTAGTGCGCTCTGCTTCGGTGGCCCAGGGTTTCACTGGTTCGGATCCTGGGCGTGGACATGGCACCGCTCATCAGGCCATGCTGAGGCAGCGTCCCACATGCCACAACTAGAAGGACCCACAACTAAAAATATACAACTATGTACCAGGGCGCTTTGGGGAGAAAAAGGAAAAAAATTTAAAAATCTGAAAAAAAAATAAAGTTTTTTTATTTTAAAGCATATTAGCCTGCTTTCAGCGCACTCTCGCCTCAGCTAGCTGACTCCGTTGCCCTCCAGCCTCCTCTCCCTCTATGTTCCTCCCTCAGAATGCCCATGTCCTGTTGTGCCCCTAAGCATACAGCTCTAGCCTGGGTTCTCTGGATGATGACCCTTCAAGCGGCTGGACCTTTTTTGTCTTAATGTTTCAAGACACAATTTGGTAAGATCAGCAGGAGTAGGGGCCGTGTGGTGTCATGGGGGTGGCAGGGGCTTTGGAATTGGCCCCACTTGGGTTTGAATCCAAAGATAATCACTGTGTAGCCTTGAACCATCCCCCTGAGCCTCAGTTTTCTTGTAGTGGTTGTCAGAGTTAAATGAGCCAGCTCAGATAGGACACCCATCCTTGGGCTTGGCACACAGGGGAGCTGGGAAACGTAGCAGCTGTCTCTCCTGTGGCTTCTGCACAGCAGGTGCTGCTCCTGGTCTGGCACGCCCTCCTCTGGCACAGGCCACCTGCCGGAGCTTTGCACACACTGTCTTGCCTTGCATGTCCTGTAGTATCATCTCAGATCTTGTTGAGAGCTGAGTTAGGGAACTCAGCTGAAAGAAACTGACCTCATGCTATTCTTACTGTGTTTTAAGGGTATCAGCATGGAAGCCATGAGTGAGAATAAAATGGTGCCCTCTGATTTTAGCACAGGACCTATGGAAAAGGCTGCCAAACCTTTGCCATTTAAGGATCCCAACTTTGTGGTAAGCATCTAAGGTATTTATAAATAAAAAACCAAACCACCATACGTCGGCCTCTGATCTTGCTAGGCACTGGTGTCCCCTTCTGCATCAGTCCCAGTTGCCACCTTCTCTGTCATGGGCTGTTGTGGGAGGGGTGGGGGCAGGAGCAGAAGGGCCCTTGTTGTTGCTCTCCTGATATGCCAGTTCCCGAGGATTTGGGTGCCCTTTGTGGCATTTGTTAAGGGATCCTATTTGGAGGGTGGTTCATTTCCATGATGACTGTTCACCCTCCCTTTGCATTGGTCTCACATAAGTTTTAGAAGAGATTTGAAATAACTAACGAAAAGAAGATTGCGCCTCATTAGTTTCTTTAAGTAAATCTAAACTATTGTGCTGTAAAGCAGAAACAGGCTACTCTTCCTTTCATCCTCAAGGAGTATAATAAATGACAGCGATTCAGATTATACCATTAAAAGATGTTTCATTAATTAGTTTTGAAAATATGGTGTTACCAGTGCCTGCAACAGATTTTAGTATTCTTTCCATTTTATTTTGTCATCTTCATAGGACGAAAAGGAAAAAAAAAGAATTTCCAGAAGGCTTGCCATGCCGTGACTGAGGCTTACTTGGGTTTTCCAGGATCATCAGTAATTTGCAGGCAGACTTGCCCTCGAAAGGGGGTTTAGAGATGTGATCATGAGTTTAAATCTAACTTTGTAGTAAATTTATTTTAAAGTAAGGGAAGTTCATGAGTGAATTCTCTAAAGTTAGATCCAATAAGGGAGGTGATTTGCTATGTGCATGGAAAAAAAAATAACTTTTTATTTCTACTTCATCCCTAACTAACTCCTGAGTTTTGACCATCCAAAAGCTTTGTTTTTTATAAGGAAGATTAAAGTGTACAGCATAATACTTAAAAAAAAAAAGCCTTGGGGTATAAATGATTGCTGACAGAATGAGGGGCATGTTATAATTATGAATAAGCATAAATGTCAGATTCTGAAATGGCAGTCTCCATTGATTTTTGTTTCTTCTCACCCATGCTTTTAATTCAAGCACTCTGGCCATGGTGGTGCGGTAGCTGGCAAGAAGAATAGAACCTGGAAGAACCTGAAACAAATTCTCGCTGCTGAGAGGGCGTTGCCATGGCAACTGAACGATCCTAACTGTGAGCTGTCGAGAGCCTTCTATGTGTTTATAATGTTTGGACTAGGAACTTTCTTTTAACAAACCTCTTTTATTATTTTATTGTGTTTGCGTTAATGTAGGACACCATTTTTAGCTTAGGAATTTTAGAGTGGCATGAATGTAAAGAGATTATGTGTCTATTTCCTCGTAACTATATCTGTGCTTAATCTGTTTGTGTGGTCATGGATGTGTGGTTTTTAGTGTCACTGTTAACATTTCCATCTGGAGAAATAGGTCCAGATATGATAATATTGGTGTTTCTGTTAGAAAAGATATTAATGTTTCTGTTAGACAAAAATCAAGGGCTACTGTTAAAATTTGTTTCCAAGAACAAAGTTGCCCAAGATTTGCGAGGGTTTCTGACGACCAGCTTAAAAGCCAACTCTGTTGTACTCGCTGAGCCGGTGTTTTTCAGAGTAAATGCTTTGTGCTGCAGTGTTTCCAAATATGTGTAAAGTGCCAGTGTATGTTCTGTTCAGCATCATTGGAAAGTACAGGTTCAAGTTCCCTCTGTCTCCGTTCCCACTGCACCTCTTTCCTGGGGTGACTCAGACGGGTGACAAGTGAGCTAGTCAGTTGTCTGGGTGTGGACATTCCGGTGTCCGGATGCTCAGATCCAGTCAGTGGGTTGTTTGGCATCTCACCACCACCAGCCCATGTAGCCTGACACAGTGAAAGTGGCTGGTGGGCAGATGAGCTTCTGGTGCTTCTGGTGGAGTAGGGGGTCCCTGGGGACAGGGCAGAGCAAGATCCGGAGCCCACACTTGGTCTATGACATATACGGCATTATTTCCCCAGAGACTGCTGTGAGTACTTAATCACAAAGTAAAAATTTCAGGAATATTATCAAACCGTATTTTAGAAAAAAAGGGAAAGGATCTGAATGTTTTGAAGCCAGTTTAGTTATCTTCTTTTTTGTCCCCCCAGACTTCAGTATTGATGCTCCTCCATCCTTTAAACCAGCTAAGAAGTATTCTGATGTTTCAGGACTTCTTGTGAGTATAATTACATCTCTATGTCTTATAACACCGAATTAAAATGAAGATTTAGACAGTGTTGAATATTGACCACCACTGGTCCTGCCTGGATGCTCTAGACTTTGAGGAGGTAATGGGTTTGTGTGGAAGTGATGACACATTAATTTTAGACTAGCTGCAACGTGGGGCATCTGTGTGGGCAGCCTGGAGAGAGGATTGCTCCAGAAAGCAGGAGACCCAGGTTTCATTTCCCTTTCCTCTGCTCGTTAACTATATGAGATAACATGAAAGAAACAACTGTTTCTTTTTTTTACTGCTGAAGTTTAAAAATTCCCTGCATTTTAGGGATGATAGTACACTTTTTTTTTTTTAAAGATTTTATTTTTTTCCTTTTCTCCCCAAAGCCCCCCCAGTACATAGTTGTATATTCTTCGTTGTGGGTCCTTCTAGTTGTGGCATGTGGGATGCTGCCTCAGCGTGGTTTGATGAGCAGTGCCATGTCCGCGCCCAGGATTCGAACCAGGGAACACTGGGCCGCCTGCAGCGGAGCGCGCGAACTTAACCACTTGGCCACGGGGCCAGCCCCGATGATAGTACACTTTTTAAAAATATATTTAAACTTCTCTAAAGAGGCACTACGGTAAAAGTAGTCATTTTCAAACTTCTTTTTAAGCATCAGAACCCCTTTTCCAAATGAAATATTTTACAGAATCTCCTGGAGCCCACCTACCACTGCGGTCCCATGTGGGTCTGGTGCTCTGACCTTCTCCCCACGCCCCACCACAGTGACCCTAGAGTGCTTCTGGGGAACACAGTTTGAAAACCAGCAGCGTAGTTGGACGAGTAGGATATGGGCCAGTCACTGAACCTCAGGAGCCTCTGAGCACCTCATTTCCTTCTTCTCCGGAGGCAGGCGGAGTGTGGGACTCTCAGCTCACCTTCTTCATCCTTTTCATCAGTGTTAAATTCGGGAAATGGGCTTTTTCTCATTACTGTAGAAATAATAAGGCACTTCACTTTTTAAAACTCATACCGTTCATTTAAATGCTTTACTTTGTATGAAAATGTATGACTCCAACTTCTGAAACAAACTGAATTAATGATGTCTGTTCTACTTTGGGAAAGATTTGAGTTTTTATTATATTTTTTAAAATAGTCTTATACTCTCTGAATTAGTCATATGTTTTAGCTTTTCTTCCAGAGAGCACACACTCCTCAGTGTACTACAAACTTTTTAACATAGACCCTTAAATATAGTGATCCTAAAAAACGATAGGGAAAGTGGAAGTGCGATAAAATGGTGTGTGCGTGTGTGATGGGTTTTTTTCACATCCATTCACAGGCATATATCTCCTCCTAAATGCCCCCTGAGGGGACTTCAACTTGAGAGAAATGTTGTAGTTTTACGCTATCTCTTGTCTACTGCCTGAAAATAGTTGTCTCATGTATTTGACTCATTTTAATAGTTGCTTATGGTAAGAGAGCTAGTCTGGCACCAGTTATTCTCTTAGGGCCCAGAGTGGAGATTTCTCCCTGTGACATTTTGTGCTGAGCTCATGGAAGCTGTGGTTTATGGCCAGACTTGGAGGGTGGCCCCTTGGAGCGTATTTTATCCTCACCATCAGCAGGCAGTGCATCTGTGGTGCAATGGCTTTCACACAATAGGAGGCATGAGAATCATCCTGAGAAGCATTGTTCCTGGCCCCTTTATGCCATCGGCAAAGGGCTTGTCATGACAGGCAACCTCTTGTGCCACTGTATGTAAGAATTAAGAAATTCTGAATATATAGAGAACTCCACCAAATCATTGAAAGCCAACCCCATAGGAGAATTGCCTAAAAGGATATGAAGAGACAGTTACAAGGAGGAGATACGGATGACCACTAAGTAGATATTCCCCCTTCCTGATAATTAGGAAAAAGACTCATCAGGGAGAAGAAATGAAGACATTTGATTGTTCCCGGCGTAGAGCAGCGGGTATCCTCACACCCTGCTGTTTTGAGCGGGGAATCTGCATTGGTGCGCATTTCTTGGAGGGCAGTTTGACACCACGTGTTGAGACAAAAACGCAAAGCCTGTGACCCAGCAATTTGCCCTCTGGGCAGCTCCCTGGAGAAACTCTGCACAAGGAGCTTCATGCAGTAATGCTTGTGAGAAAATGTGTTAGTAGAATATTAGAAATAACATAAAACAGCATCAACAACAACATAAAAGTCAGCCAGCGGTGGGCCATGGGGAGGACTTGGGGGGTGTTCATACTATTCTGCGAGCTTGATGTATATGTAACAACATGGATAAACTTCCAAGACATATTGTTTACTGAAAGGTGCAAAGCATTATAAACAGCCTGGTCCCACTTAAGTAAAAATCAATACGCACTCACAAAAAAATTGGGCAGTTTCTCTGGTGTGTTTATACGTGTGTGCAAGGGTGTATATAAACAAGGTCTGGAAGGGTGCCCACCTAACCATGGTTCCTCAGGGTAGGGCAAAGGACTTTTGCATGGTGGACGGTGGTAAAAGGGAACTTTAGTCTTCTTCATAATGTTTTCTTTTTCTTTTTAGAGGAGGATATGTTTATCTGTTACTTGTATAAATTAAAGTTAACGTAATTAAAAAATAAAGCCCAGCTCGTGTTTACACTGACGCGCCTGTTCCCGGCCGGCCAAGTGACTGTTTGCCCTGTGCTTGGACCTGGCAGGAAGGCATGCAGGTCACACTTGTGTTTAGCCCTTGTTACAAAGCTATGCAAAGTACTGTGGCTCGGGGTGAGATGGGGGAGCAGTGGACAGTCTGTCACCCCGCAGCCAGGAGGCCTTGGAGCTGTTCGCTGAAAGCGGCCTTTGGTTCGTTCAGGGTCCAGGGGCAGAACCTGGAGGAGGGCAGACTGCAGGAGGACAATTCTTCACTTGTTCGACTCTGGGCTGTCACTCGGCATCCTCCTTCTGTTCAGCACACCGGTCAGGTCCATCTGTGCAAGTTTTTGTTGGTGACCTTTTTGTTGGTGCCACAGTATCTCTGTGTTCTGCATTATTTATTCAGCAGCCTTGGCACTGAGGTCTGAACTTGGGCGGGCCAGCTCAGCACAGTTTGGTGGTGGGAGTGAGGCGGCCACAGAAATGGAGCCGGGCCGGGGCTGGTTCATATATGGAGGCCAGATGATCAAAGCCAGATGCACATGCCTGCACCCTGCTCACAGCGGCAGGGCAGCCTCCCCCTGCCAGCTGTTCATCTAACTGCCTCATGGCCAGGAGCCCTTAAAAGGGACTTGGCTGTTTTTCTCTTTAAGCCTTCCATTATATTACAGTCATTAAAAGAAATGTGGTACAGAAAGGCAATATCTAGATTAAGCCAAAGGATCAAAGTTGTATTTTATAGAGAGCTTTAATTAGTCTTAGCTTTTAGGAATAATCTCATTTTCCTGACATGCAGACACGAAATGGCTCAGGGAGATCCCCAGTGGCAGGACTGAAGAAGTTTTAGAGTATGAGACAGCTCTGACTCAGTTCCCTTCAGCCTGTCGCTTCTTCACGGAGCCGAGCCCCCCTTGTTGAGTCACAGCGTTGCTGCGAGCCTCGGTCCACGCAGAGATCGTCAGCACTGGGGCAGACAGTCCACACTTGAGTAATTGGACCTTATCTGTCTAGACTTTAAAGGCATCTTGTATAATTTTTCCAAAGGAGTTCCAAATGACTCACCCTCATGTTTTCTGTTTCAAAATCTATAGAAGCCATGTGCCTTGAGGTATATAGTAAGTAGATTATCTTCTCCACTTTGTACATGGGGAAAACAGACCAAAAGAGAATTTAGATATGTCAATGGGAAACAAACGCTCTTTTCTGTGATTGTCCTGATCGGCCGTTTGTTTGTTCCTTCCTTCCTTCATCATTGGTTGTACAGCACTGACTGAAGGCCCTCTGGGCGCTCTGCACTGCACTAGGAGCCGGGACACAGTGATAAGCAAACCACAGGCTTCCTGCCTCCTGGAGCCTCACAGCCTAGACCTGAGTGAGAGTCAGGCAGATGATAAACGTACAAGCAACAGAGATAAGCATTCCCCAGGAGAGAGGTGTGGTGAAGTGCAAGTGGAGATGGGGTCCTGACCTCCTGGAGGGGAGTGCATAAGGCTTCCTTGATGATAGGACTTTGGAGGCTGAGTCCTGAAGGATGAGCAAGTGATTCTGAGCAGAGTGGGCCAGGGTGGGGACCGCTCCTGAGGAAAAGGAGAATGGGGCATGACAGGAGCGGGTACTGAGAGCCAGGGCAGTTGGAACCAGCGAGTGGGGACATGTGGCTAAGGAAGAGGCTTGGGAAGGAGAAGGGCGCCGACTTGCTTGTAGGGTCTGAGGAGCCATGCTGAGGACTTGGCCTTTGTCCTGAGAACAGAGAGGAGCCATTGAGAGGTTTCACGCTGAGCAATGACATGATCAGAATTGCAAGGTGTAAATGACCATGGCTGAAGTTAGGATGGCAGTCCCTTCCAGTGGAAGAGTGGGTGGCCTGCCCAGCACTGCAGTGTCACCCAGGGAGCCAAGGAAGTGGCATGAGGAGGGCATGGAAGAGCAGGGGAGGAGTGCATTTGGAGTCAGTGGACAGTAGCTGGGAGGGGCGGGTGTGCCCAGCCCGCATGGAGGGGCCGCTCCCTGCCTTGGGGAACAGATCTGGAACATTTGTTTGGAGCAGGTAGGAGTTTGAAGGCAGGGATCAGGGAGGGAGGATCATCATGGATTCAGTTTGGGATCTGTTCCTTGCAGACCTTGAGGCACCAACCAGAACGGTCCTAGTGTCTGACAGTGGTTATGCCTCTTCCTCCCGTCCACACCCTGAAGTATTTCTCAAGTCTGGGAAGATGAACGAGTCTTTGCCCAAGTGAGCAATTTAGTGTTCTTGGTGGTAGAGTAAAGCATGATGAAGAAATATTTCACTTTCGGTAAAACAGAAAAAAATGTTAGACTTGCACTTAAAACATCGCCACCAACAACAGCTTTCTGCCCTTCCCTCTGCCTGTTTCTCATCCAGGCCAACTACACTGACCCCCAGAGCAAGCTGCGGTTCAGCACCATTGAAGAGTTTTCTTACATTCGGAGGCTGCCGTCTGATGTTGTCACTGGCTACCTAGCCCTGAGAAAGGCCACAAGCATTGTACCCTGAGCCTTGAGAAACGGAGACGAAGTGGAAAACTGTTTCAAAGGCAGACTTTGGACTCATGATTCTGTTTCATGGAAACAAACTCATTCTGCTGTCAATCTGGAAATGTCAGTGCCATGCCTTGGAAAGAATGTTTGGCTTTAATTTAAGGTTTTGCTTTTTTTTTTTTCTATGTTTTCCCTCTAAGTGTGATATTTCCTGTTGAATTAAATTATATTTCATTTGTTGCCTCAAGTAAAGTTATTTGACAAGAAAATATAAAATTGTGCTTTTAATGTAACCCAAGTAAGTCCCCGAATTTTTGCTTCAAAGCTCCGAACTCTCTTATAACACATTTGAAGACTCAACAATGGATCCTGACAACAGGGCTGGATTATTCCGGATCCCCGTGACTCACTCTTTCGAGCGTGTTAATCTTTCTCTTTGATCAGAATGCTTGGACGAGATCCAGACTTGGGGCTGGAGAAGAAAGAGCTGAGTGACTCGCCCTGTCGCACTGGGCCGGTCCTTGCCCTGTGCCTCGGCCTCTGAACCAGCCTCCAGAACCGAGATAGACAGCTGGATTTAAGCCACTCGGTCTGTGGCATTTCGTCTTAGCAGCCGAGCTGACTGCATCACCAGCCCTGGCCTCGTTTCTGGAGGTGTGGGGTACAAACGTCGACACCCCTTCCAAGAAGGGCTTGTGTCCTGGTACAGGATGCTGCCCCTCTGACCGAAGCCTGCTTCCCCATCCCCTGAGAAGAGGAAGCACTCCTGGACCAGGAGAAGGAGTGTGGAGATGTGTCCCGAGTTCCTCTGAACCTATTTTCTGTATTTCTCTGGGGAGGACAGTGGAACCAGACCCCGAGGCTTCTGAGCCAGAGCCACCTCTGCTTTGGGGGTTTAGGCACCCAGGTGCCCTTTCTCTTGGAGGGAAAGCCCCTCCTGCACCCCTCTCCAGGCACCGGGAAAAGGAAAACAAAGCAGTGTCAGCTGGGAGAACAGCCTGCTGGGCAGGTGGCAGCTGCCCGGAATCTGGCTTCCTTTCCTGCTGGCGCAGCAGCCCCTGTCAGTCAGCACCTTCCCAGTACTGGGTGGTGAGAGTGGGAGGGGTGCTGTGTGGCTCTCCTCCCTTCCTCTGTGAAGAGGGACTGAGGGAATGGCCAGGAGAGGTGGGAACTTTGCTAAGCCCAGGAGCACTGAAGCATTTGAACCTGTGGCACAGGGATCCTCAAACCCGAACAACATTGCAATCACCAGAGGCCCTGTTGTAACAGATTGGGGGCCCCACGCCCAGAGAGTCTGAGCCAGTAGATCTGGGGTGGGAGTCCAAGAACTTGCATTTCTATTAAATGATGCTGATATTGCTGGTCCAGGGACCTAACTTTGAAAGCCGCTGCTGAAACTGAAGTTCTCGGAAAGTCCAGAGGCTGTTCCTTGGGTTCGCGCTCATGCTCCCGCACTTCCTGCCAGCAGTCAGCCCCGGAAAACCCCCCAGTTTCCCTTTTGGTGGAAACAGGGAGTAAGTGAGCCAAGGGCCCTTCCTGCTTCGCTTCCACCTTCTGTTATACAATGAAAACTTGGGGCAGGTCCACTTTTTTTCCATGAAGTCCCCTTAGTTGGATAGAGCCCCAGAATCATTTCTAATGCTGAGTGCTGGGCACTACCTCAGACCCGCCTATTCAGACTCTCCTGGGCCAGGGTCCGGGATGAAAGAGAAGCCCTGCCCTGCACATGTCCCCTGCGGAGGCCCACAGACTTGCTTCTGCAGGCCTCTCATGGTTTTCTGGGGGTGTATGTGCCGTGAATGCTCTGTCACAGTCACCTGGGACCCATAAAAATGCAGAATCCTGGGCCACACACCTAGACCTCTGACCAACACAGGACTGCGGCCCAGGCGTCTGCATTTGAGAGCCATCCCAGTGTGAATGTGACGTGCAGGAGTGTGAGAACCGCTGCCTTCCCCAGGCAGAGGGGAAGCACGTGTGCCGGACACCTGGCTCCCTTCTTTCCTGTCCCCCTGCCAGGCCTTCCTTGCCAGCCTCTTTTTGCCGGAGAGCTGTGTTCCGAAGGTCAGGTCGTTGTTCTCACCCCAAGCAACAGGGGTCCAAGCTGAGCCAAACAAAGCTTCCAGCTGTGAACAGTTCCAAAAGGGGTCCTCCTACAGGTTTTGGAACAGGCAGGTAGTTTTCTGCTGAAATAGCCCTTGCTGTCCATGCCTGGCCCAGCAGTTCTCAGCCCTGGCTGCACATTAGCATCACCTCTGTTGGGGGGGGATGGTGGGACGAGGTATAAGAAGACCCAGGGATTCTGATTCAACTGGCCTGAGCTGGGGCCTGGGCGTAGTACTTTTTAAACACCTTAGATGATTCTAACGTGCAGCCCATGTTGAGAACCCTTGCTGTAACTACAAAGAGGATATTTCACATGCGGTGTTTTCTAACTCACAGATCAACCGGCTCTTTCCATCCCAGGGCCCTGGGCAATTTGGAA